TCATTTTGTTTAAAGACTCACGCTGGATGAAGACTCTATGTTGTTGAGAGTTTGAGCTTTAGCTCTGCTCTTTGGAAAGTAGAAAATGCTGGGTAGATTTTCCTGTCCCCCTGAGGCAATGCCACCATGGTGTTTGCCTCCCTGGACATCAGAAATTTTCTATCTTTAGGCATATGGCTAAGATTATGTGGGAAACAGTCCGTAAACTAAAGGGAGCTTTCCTGGGGATTCAGGACACTGTAATAAAAAGAATGAATGGTATGACAGCCTTGAGAGAGAAGTCAGAGCATCGTGGGCAAGTGCCAGCCCAGCCCGCAAAAAAGTTTCTACTTCTCGATCCAAGATGCTAGAATGCAGAGTCACGTGCCCTTAGTGGAATAAAACCCATGGACACAATATTTTCCCAATGAAGCTTGAAACCAGTCAAGCACATTTTTTTATTTAGAAAAGAACAAAAACGTCTAATGGTATACAGTCTATACATGCTACTGCTAACTGTTCATCACCCTCCCCTCACATTATATACTCATACAAGTTTCTGTGTTAAAAGGAAACAAGACCATCACCAGAAGGTGTCAGTTTGCCATGAGGGTATGAGAACTGGGGTATCCGGAAATCCCAGTGCCATCCTAGAAGTGAGCCATGGGGTGGAGTGGGACACTGCTGTCAGAGGCCACTGTCTTGAGGGAGGTAAGACATGGCCTGGTCACTTAGTGGCTCCCTGATGTAGGAAATTCAGGTTACAGGTAAAGTGGCCAGAGTTGATCACTACCCCTTGGAAAAAGAGAAAGGGGTACTGTAAGAATGAAGGCATGGACAGGCAAAGACTAGGGGTAAATAGACATCTGTGTTAACACTGCTTATTGCTGTCATAAGCCTGGTGTGGGTGGGACACCTTCTGATACTGACAGAAGATTCCGGAGTAAAGGCTACTGATTGTGACACTGCGTATCTGCTTTGCTCAGGCACCAGAGGCTTAGCTCACCGTCCCTAAGTGGAACTAAGGCCGGCTTTGTAGTAAAACAAGAGAAACAGGAAGGGACACAAGAGAAACAGGAAGGGAGGTGGAATGTCTGGATATAATGTAGGGGTCCTGATAACTCGGCCATGTAGCACCAGAAACCAATATCACCCCAAGAAGCTAGAGGGTCGTCTGTGGAAGGGGTCCTTGGCAGGTGGAGTCTTTAACCCCACAGCTCCCTAACATTCATGGCTCTGGGCAGCCATGGTTGAGGAAAACCTAAGGATTAAGTCAAGAGAGGCTCCTCCAGGCCAAGAGAGGGTGCCCTGTACCCTACTCCCCAGTACGAGCTTTCAGGCTAGTCTGTTGGCAGGTAATCTTTGGTGTAGGATCTAACTGGCTGTTGGCAGCACATACAAAGTCCTAAAAGAAAACCAGCTACGGGGACAAGCCTGGCTGTCCAAAGTCCAAAGCGAAGTGTAAATTCTCCAGGGCAACCTGACCCCACGCTTGCACCAAAGTCACAAATGTTTTTGGCTTTTGATGATGCCAAGTAGCCAGCTTTTTCAAGGCAGATGCAGGTTGTTTCATTTTTATACTTCTTACTGCTGGGTACTGGGTACAGACTGAATAAATACTAGATTGTCCATTCCTTAGCCTAAGGTCCATCTAAACCTTGGGTACAGTCAGCACCTGCCCTCTCATGCGGTAAATCTGTTCTTGACAACATACCACCTGGTAATGTACTCCCTGGTGGACTTGGAAACTGCAATTACCGCAGAAAGCCTAGAAATTCCCCGTCAAGTCCAAGACAGCTCATAGAGACTATGAATAGGCCATGGAGGAGATCTCTTTGAGACCTTTGCAGGGGCATTAGGAGTGGTTTGAGCGAGAGGCCAGCTCTATTCAACTCACAGTGTAGCAAACATCAGAGGGAGATTAGCAAAGGTCTATTTTACCCAACGGTAATCCTAAAAGGCTTATTTTCTGAGATTTGGTGGCAACACCAAAGGCTGCCTTTTTGCTCTTAGATGAAAGATCAAGTTGTTGCCTGGGAGTAACCAGAGGTCAAGAAGGGAAATAAAACCCCCTTTTTGCCTGCCTGCCTTTGTGATTTCCTACCTACCACTGTGTCTGACCTTAGAGCAATGGGAGGCAAAGACCAAATTCAGAGGGAGGGCCACCTGATTCCTGCGAGTCCCATGTCCATTTCACAGAGAAAAAGTCACGGGTATAGGGGAGAAACATCCATGGAATAGGATTCCAGCTTCGTCCCTATTCGGATGAGGCTGCGCACATGTGACTTCACTCCTTGTACCTCTGTTGTTTCCTAACTTCTAAAACAGGGTTAACCTGTCAACCTCACAATCTTGTTTTGAGGAGGAAGAGTTATTTCAGCACTGGTTACCAGCCCAGTGATTGGCATGGAGTTAGGATGATGGCCAGGATGTTCTCTTGCCAGAACTCCATGGTTTTGTACCGGCTCCACTGATGGGAGGTGTAAACAGATGTGCCCAGGCAGGGGTTAGAAAGAGCCACCCACTTGCATGTGCCCAGGGATGCACCTACCACTGTGGCCAGGGGAGCTGGCCAGTCCTCAGGACACAGATTAGATGTGAAGAAGGCCAGCGAAAAGAAAGGAACGTGGCTTCAGCACCTGTAATTCATGTCAGTAGAGTATCATGAAGGAACAAAAAGTCATTACTTTCATTTGCATGAAAACATTCCGTCCATAGGTAGAGCCAGTCCATTCCCACCCAGCTGACCCTGGGCAGAAGGGACAGGGCGAAAGACTAACTCCTTTAGAGTTAGCGCCAGGACAGCTGCACACACCTGGTCTATGCAGAACCCGGCACATAGGAGACTTTCACGAGACAGACAAAATCAGAAAGAAAAAAATTCCAGAGTTTAACACTTTGGAATGAAGCCAAGTCCTACAGACTAGCTGCACAAAAGCTATTCAAAGCAAAAGGGATCAAAAACTCAGGAAAACGTGCTATGAAGCCTTGTCTAAAGCTAGCACCTTGAAGAAATGCGTGGCATTCTCTAAGACCTCCTTGAAAGCTCTGGGCACTGAGCCAGGGGTCAGCAGGTCCTGTAAGAGGTGCCTCAGGGCCCATGCTGGGAGATGCGATTTGGGGCCAAATAGAAAAAGGTAATGAAGGTCCCACTGCAGCTCAGGAGAAGTGCTTTCTCCTCCAAAAGCACCTGGAGCCCCCATGGCAGCAGAGGAGAAAAAGAGGACCCGTGGTACAGAAATCTTTGGCACTGCAGGTGGACAGCACGTGTCCCCAGGAAAGCTAGCCAGTGGCTCCAATGTACTGCACAGATGAACACTGAGTCTGAGGTCTCTGGGAGGCACACTGCTATCTCTCTTCTGCAGGGTGGGGTAGGGGGCTTGAAAAGGGTTCTGTGGTCACCCCACATAGCCTGGTCCACAGGCTGGGAGCCAGAAAGCCCAATCTTCACTCTACTGCTCTGTGGTTTATCTGTGCCTTGACATGCCTCAGTTAACCACATCTGTCAGAACGGGTGTTAAAAGACAGGGGGAGTATGTGATGAGAGGGAGGGAAGGAGTACAAATAACAGGCAAAAAGAAGCATTGGCAGGGAGGGACAAGTGTCCACCAGGCTCCTGGGTCCCCGCCGTCCGATGGTATAACTTCTTGCTTTGCTCAGTTTAGGGGTGATACAGCTGACTGAACCTGTGTCATCAGGATGTTAGGAAGCTAGCGAGGAGTCCAATGGAGTCCTCAGACTGCAGATCTATCCCCTAAGGGCGACCAGTATAGGAGAAGGGCATAAGATGCTGTGCCGCCTACCAGGGTTTTCGCAGCCCTCGCCATGGAGAAGCAGTGTCCGGAGTCCAGGAGGGTCCTTGGTGGTGTGCTGCAATGAGTTGGTGGCGTGGGTGTAATCACAAATGTCCCTTTAACCACAGTAGGAAGCCACTTAGCCTCCATGCTCCTGGTGCCTGGCAGCTCCTGTCTCCCCACTGCCTGGCTTGTCTCTTCCCGGGGAAAAGCCTTCAGGCCTTTAAGTCAGGGAGACCTCGGTAGAAATGCCCTGTCCTCCTCTTGCCAGTTAGGGCATGAGCATGATGTGCCCAAGTCTTCTTGCATACAGAATGGGCAGAACACTGCACTAAACGGTGGCTGTAAAGTGCCAAGCACAGCATGTTTCACCTACAGGTTACTCCACAAAGGGGTGCCCAGTGGGCTTGGCTTGTGAATCGCCTTGTTCAAACACATGTTGAGATTCTTCTTCTAGGTAGACAAAAGTGAAAAGCCCCACATGGGGCAGGAGGTTATTAATGAAAAGCCCCAGAGAGGTCTGGGTTTGCAGAAGGAACTTGAGGTGTGTCATGTAATGGACCCGCCCCCTAAGATTCAAAATAGTCACAAGACAAGATGCATGGCAGGAAGGCCAAATGACTACTCCTCGGACAGCTGCCTCTGGCCAAACCTCAGAGGCCTTGGAGAAGAGGATCTGTTCCCTGGGATTGGCAATGGGGCCAGCCTATAAAGGACAAGTGCTTTTGTGGTTCCAGGCCCTTTGAAAGTGGAATGCATACAGGCATGGGGTTTTCAGAGAACTGGAGAAGTTAAATCAAGTCATCACGGATCAGTGGGGTGCCAAAGAAGATGGCCCCTTAACGTGCCTCATTTGAGCATAGGAGACTCCTCTCTGGAATTTCTCCTGCTGGTCCAAGAGTGGGCTTGGAGAGCCGTGGCCTTGCTCCCAGGAGGACAGGGAAGCTGGGTGGCAAGGCTGGGGACTGGGAAGAGGAATCGGCCCAGAAGCTGAAGCGGGTGTAGCTGAGCCTCCAGGGATGCTGCCACAGGAAGGTTCCGACTCTATGATTCAGGGTCAGGGACCTACTCTCCATTAAGACCACATGCCAGACTCATGGGCATAAGTGAGAAACTCCAGAGTTGACCTGCCTTTGCTGTTACATGGAGGATGATAAATTAAGAGGCATCTTAAATATGTGGGTAAAACCAGTAGGGGCCTAGAGGACCTCTGAATGGAGAGAAGTAGCTACAGCTTCTTTCTCAGATAGTTGGAAGGAATCCACCCTTCCCAGGAAGGGGCCCCGCTCAGGACCTGGCAGAACCACCAGCCACTGCTGTTCTTTTCTCGGACTTCAAACACGGTCCCCTCCTGGAAGCTGCTGGTGTCTTCATCGCCATCAAAATTAGCCACGGCCACATACAAAGAGTCCTTCAGGCTGTCGGGGCTGGGGAAGGGTGCCACTTTCTCTCTGCTTTCTCCAATCCGGCCTGCCATCCGGGGCCCCAGCATGCCTTTGCCTCTCATGTCGTCTTGGCCTCCTGAGGAGTTGGTGAGAAAAGGCCTCGCTTTGGGAGGGATGAGCAGGGCCCGGCTGGGGGCAGGAGCTGCTTTGCCTTCACTGGCTTCACGCTGTGGTCCTCTCACCTCTGGGAGGGGCCGGGATGACGAGGAGGCTTTCTTAGGTGGTGGTGGTCTTCGGGGTGGGACAACAGGCCTCTGCTGGGGGGCTTCCTGGAAAGGGACAGGGACGCTCTTAGACACAGGCTCTGCCGTCTTGGCTGGCCGGGGTGGGGCCCTGGAGGCCATCTCCTTTGGGCCAAGCCCGTCCTGTCTGCTTGTCCTCTCCTGCGTGCGGCCAGGCCCCTCCCCTGGGAGGAAGCTGCGGCTAAAAGCCAGGTCGGGGGCCCCCACAGCCTGGTGACTCTCCCCATCCAATGATGCTCTATCTTGGGACCTGGCAGGCCTAAGCTTACTCCTGAGGTTACAGATGTCCACTTGGTCTTCGCCCTGAGGTGGCTCTGTCTTGAGGGAAGGCGCTGGCTTGGGCCTAACCTGAGGTTTGGACTTCAAAAAGGGGTTCTGGGAAACAGCTTCTGGCTTCTCCTCTGGTGGATCAGCTTTGGTCTTGGAGATAGGCCGGAGGTTGGGCTTCTTCACTTCCTTGGCCAATACCTTGTGGCCACACTCTAGCCCCATCTCATTTTTCAGCTGGAACAATTTGCTTTTGTCAGGTTTGGGCTCTGGCCTCCTGCTGTCCCGGGCTGGGGAGCCATGCTTGGCTGGGATCATTGGCAAGATCATGCCAGGAGGCTTGGGTGAAGAGCCCCGGAGCTGCTCCAGCCTCTGCCGCTCCCTCTCCTGCAGCTCCCCTTCGGACTTGATGATGGACTCCTTCCGGGGGGGCAGGCTGGGCTTCTCCTCTAGGTCAGGGTCTGAGATCTCTTCATAGCCTGTCGACACAACCAGGTCTGCAGACACCTTCTTCAGGCCCTCTTTGCCGCTCTTCCAGTCTTTGGACCATGGCACCCCAGAGTCCACACTACCATGAGGTGTATCAGGCAGGGGCCTGCAGGGGCCGGGCGCTTCCCCACCTGAGCTGTTCTCCACTGCTGCTGTGTCCCCAAGCCGCAGCTGGGTCACCTCATTGGGCAGAGGAGCCAGGAAGTTGGGTCTTGATGCATTGCTGGTTTTCTTGTATTTGTCAATGAAGGTGGCTGGGGCCCATCCTTCCTTATCTTCAATCTGAATGTACCACCAGCCACTCAAATTCTTCTCAATCACCTGCAGAGGATGAGAGAAGAAACTTAGTAAATGTGGTGTCATGACCAATGGGCCAGAACAGCAAGTGAGGCTAAAAATTTAAAAATCGACGGAGATTCTGTTGTGTGTGGGAACATATTGCTTGGGAGCAGATTCTTGTCTTATTTGGATCCTTCTGTCCTGTGCCATGATGGCTAACTTTATATGTCGACTTGCTTAACGATGGTGCCCAGTTATTTAGTGAAATACTATTCTAGTTGGTCTTTTGACTAAATTAAGCGGTCTGATGCTGACCATATGCTGTTTTGATTTATCCATTTGATAAATTAGTGGCCTTATAAAGTCACTTACCCTCTATAATCTGAGTGGGCCTCAGCTGAAGGCCTTAAGAGCAAAAGGGGAGTTCCCCAGGTACTTTGCCTGCAGGTCTATAAATATGGATTCTGGCAGAACTCCCACTTTATTATTTGTATTGCCTAACTTACAATTCTGCACCTGCCAGCTCCCCATAATTGTATGAGCCAATTCCTTGTAGTAAATCTCTCTTAAATAGCTACCTCACTGATTCTGTTTCTCTGGAGAACTCTCACTAAGAATCTGCAAAGGCAGACTGATCCCAGGAAGCATTAGTGAGAAAGTGGGTAGATGAGAAGTGAAGGGGAGAAGCCAAAAAGTATGTGTTAATGAGCAGGTCTGGGCCACTGGGGCTTAACTGTCAAGAACCCATGGAGAGACCACACAAATCATGCCTCACGATTACTCCATGGAAGGCAGGGCCATACTGAGCCTTCATCTCCAGGGTATTCCCCACCCCCTCTCCTTGAACAGTGCTATTAGGGGAAGAGGAGTGACTCTGAAAGTTGTCCATTCGTGGGGACATGAGACAGCAACTGGTCAACTGAGAAGGCTGGGATGTGGGACAGGGTGTCAGCAGTGTCTGTCACATCCTAAAGGCTACCAGGAAACCCCCACCCATGACCAAAGCACCCTTGATTGCTGCTGCTTTGTTTAAGCATCAGAGGAAGCTGCTAGCTGGTGTGAAGAGGAAAAAAAAAAATCTAAAACCAAAACCACTGCTGTTGAGTCGATTCTGACTCATAATGACTCTAAGTTTGGAGAAAATCAGTTGCTTCATAGGGTTTTCCAAGGCTGTAAATATTTGCTGAAGACGACTGCCTCATCCTTCTCTTACAGAGTGGCTGGTGGATTTGAACTGCCAACCTTTTGGTTAATAGCCCAGTGCTTAACCCACTGCATGGTTAGGGCTCCTCTGTTAAGAGATCAAGTGGTATAAAGCACAGACCTCTACTCCTGAGGCTCACCCTGAGCAGGCAGAGCAAACGAACACTTCTTGTTCTCTCTCTCTCCCTCTCCTACTGGGACATACAGTAAGTTGTCAAAGTGGAAGACAGCATTCCCAAATTATTTAGGATTTTCTATTTCTTTGCACCCTTTTTTTGGGTCCAGTATTGTATGGCTGAATTAACCTGGGCTAAACAACCCTGGTGGCATGGCATGTTACGAGTTCTGCTGTTAACAGAAATGTTAACAGTTTAAATCCACAAGCTGCTAGGCAAGGAAAACATGGGCAGTCTCTTCCTGTTAAGATTTTTAGCTTCAGAAACCTGACAGAAGGTTGCCAGGGGTTGGAACTGACTCACTGGCAGTAGGTTAAAGCTGTGTAGGTGTGTGCTCCAACTCCCTGGGGAACATGGTCCACACAAGATCAGATTAGTGCTCACAACCACTCTATGAGGTAGGGGCTATTATCCCACTTTATATGTGCACAATCCGAGCCTTGGATCTCTAAGATATACAGAAAGTAAGAGGTAGAAAAACCCAGCTGCTGTTAGGTAGACCCTGACTCTGGGCAACCACATGTGTGTCAGGGTAGAACTGGGCGCCATCATTATCAAAGGCTGTGCAGAAGCAGACTGCCAGGGTCCTTCTGAGGGGTAGACTCAAACTGCTATCCTTTTGGTTAGCAGTTGGGTCTGTTAACAAAGTGAGTTAAGTAAGTGGTGTGCTCCAAGACTTGAGCTTGTACCACCACCCCTCCGACCTCCCTGAGAGGCGACCGTGCTTTGGAAGGAGTGAGAAAGTGCTCCTGGGGGTGACTAAATGGAGCAGGAGCAATGAGAACAGCAGACATGGCTCTGCTGGTTACTCTGAGGTCAGCAGATGGCGGACAGAGGTCCAGTAGAGTCTAGGCCTGATTGTTGGCTTTTAATTCTGGCTGCATGGTCTTGGGTAAACGGCTTTCACCAACATGTCTCAGGCCTCAACATGGTAAGAATGATAACGCTGTATTTTTAAGATGTCCCGATGAACTAATAAATCCAATACTACTGTTGTTGTGTATCATGAAACCAGACCCTACCCACAGCTGGTCCTCCAGCAGTTTTCAAAGGCAGTAAATCACATAGGAGGAGACTGCCTCTCTCACATGGAGCAGTTGGTGGATTCAAACCATGTGACTGGCTTGACAGTGCAGCTCCTACCTGCTGAACCTTCTAAGCACTTGTTAAACTCTGAAAGGTGGTGGAAATTATGAGGATGGTGTAAGATAGCACAAAATTTTGATCACTTGTCCATAGGGTTGCTGTGAGTCATGGTTGACTCAACACTTAACAACATTAGAGAGTTGTGGTGGAGGCTGCTGGGGAGGCAGGCTGTGTGTCAGAGGCATGCACGTCACGAGTCTCCCTGGACTCTCTCAACACTAAGTACTTCACCTGAGGCCTGTGGGAGCTCTAGTACAATCAAAGGCAACTCGGCATACATGTAACGCACAGGCAGTGCATCTATGAATAAGAATCTAAAAACGAGTACTAAATGTGCCCACCCCCGGCCATCAGCCTGCTGTACTGTGGGTGGCTCGCCTGGAGCTGAGATGCTAGAAGCTATGCCACCAGTATTTAAAGTACCAGCAGGGTCACTCATGGTGAATAGACATGACTGGAGTTCCCAGACTAAGACTGAGAACTAGGACTGGAAGAATTAAGTTTGAAAACAATGTATTAGAATTTTGTAAATAAAACAGTATAAATGTTTTTAAAAAAGCACAAATTTTAAAAAAAATCTGAGCTATAAAAAAAGAAATGAGACTGGACAGCCACATTCAAATCCCTAGAAAGAGGAATAGCAGATCATTGTCCAATACAGGGCCTGAAGATGAATCCTTCATGTTGGAAGGTATTTCAAGATATAGCTTGGAAAGAGGTGTCTCCTCAAAGCAGAGTCTACTATGGTGACATGATGGAGTAAGCTTTCACTCAATGAAGCACCTTCATTTACTGGATTGGAACAACTCAAAATGAGGGCAAGCAGGTACAAGTATCCATTAGTAAGAGTGTGAAAATGGTACAGTAGGAATCTATAAAAATTGGAGATTACTTACAACCAGGAACGAATAGATGAATGGGACCTTCTAAGAATCAAATCCCTACGCACATCCAAAAACTTCCCCAATAGGGTAAAAAGGGAAGCCACAGACTGGGAAAAAACATTTGGCAATGACATGTCTGATAAGGGACTTATATCTTGAATTTATAGAATACTCGAGCACCACAACAAGATAAGGTAAACAACCCAATTGCAAATGTGCACAGGATATAAACAGACACTTCGCCAAAGAAGACATTCAGATGGAGAAGAAACACATGAAGAGGTGTTCAAAATCCCTAGCTCTAAGAGAGATGCAAATCATAACAACTATGAGATATCACCTCACCCCAGTAAGAATGGCAACATTTAACAGGACAACAAACAACAAATGCTGGAGAGGTTGTGGAGAAACTGGAACCCTTATTCACTGTTGGTGGGAGTGTAAAATGGTGCAACCACTACGGAAAGCTGTATGGCGCTTTCTCAAAAAGTTGCAAACAGAAATACCATTTGACACAACAATTCCACTAGTGGGAATACACCCCAAAGAAACCATAACCACCACCCAAGCAGACATATGCACATGCATGTTTATCATGGCTTTGTTCACAATAGCAAAGAGTTGGAAACAACCTAAATGCCCATCAACAAATGAATGGATAGAAGCCGTGGTATATTCACAATGAAATACTATGCTGTATTGAAAAACAAAAGAATTAATGAAATATTATACAAATGGGTGACCCTAGAGGACATTATGCTGAGTGAAATATCTCAGTTACAAAAGGGGGGAACCTAAGAAAAGAGGAGAGAAATAATGTATACTGCATTGAAACAGATAAGGCAGAGAAGTGTTTAAAAGGAATACAGGACTAGGTATTATTTTCATGACAAGATTCCATAAAAAGAAATGCATAGTAAAGTGGACTGTGGACTTGGGGAGGGGGGATTGTAGAACAACGAAAGAATTTTTTTTCTTTTCAAAGAGTAAAATGAACTGGGGTGGGTAGGGGTGGTCAAGGAGAAAAAGGTGCAACAATGAATGAATGGGGAAAAACTAAATGGAAAGAATATGCTATAAAATATGTATGTTACATTAAAAATCATTATGAAAAATTAAAAACTTGGAGATTATTTAAAATGAAATGGGATGCACAAAGATCAATATTACAGGTAACAGTGTGCTGAAATCGACTGGGATTGGCCATTTTGAATCAGACAATAATATGATCTAGTATGCTGGGATGACAAAGAGGAATGGTGACACATTTACTGTCAAAAAGAACATTTCAAGGAGCTCTGATAGCCTAGTGTGTAAAAAGTGGCATTTTAAAGTCAAAAGAACATTTCAAGATCTATCCGGATGTACAATACTGTCAGCGACAGAAAACTGTTGATGTTAAGTACTATCAACTACAACTCACAGTGACTCTATGAACAACAGACGTGAACCTGGCTCTAACCTGCACCGTCCTCATGAGCTCTGTATTCTCAAGGCCACTGTGGTAGTCACTGCGTCAATCCATCTTGCTGAGGGCTCTCCTCTCTTTCTCTGACCCTCCACCTTTCCCAGCATGATGTCTATCTCCAAGGATTGGTTCCTCCAAAAAATATGCCCAAAGTAAGAAATTTCA